CTTCTGGGATACTTCAACGGGTCCCTGCCATTCCCAAGCAACGGCACTGGGAAGGAACAAGAAATCTTCACGTATCAGTCGCTGCTGGCGTATACGGTACTCCTGAGAAACCTGTCACCACAAGAGCAGCAGAGCATCAGAACGTATCGAAGTTATGGAAACTCCGCGGAACTCGCATGGCATCATCTCAAGTGCCTCTATCAAGCAAACGACAGCGTGACACAAAGCAGACTCATGCAACAGCTGACAACAATACAGATGAAGACCGGGGAAAAGGCGATGCAGTATATGAGTCGCTGCCAGACCCTCCGCGACCGCCTGCTTCGGTGCGGAGGAACGATCACTGAAGAAAGCTTCGTGACACTTGTCCTCGCCGGGCTCGGGCCAGAATGGAGAACCACACGATCACTTCTTCGAGCCCACGGAAGAATTTCGGAGATGCACCTCTGCGCCGAGCTTCACGCTGAACAACAGGAGATGGATCTGTTCGAGGAAAGACAACCAAGGAAGCAACAGCAGTTAGTCTTCTACACTCAAAGAAGAAATGACAACAACTACAACCGACGCAGCAAGCAAGATCAACGTGACAACCGAGGACTCACCATCGTGCCGCCGTTCTGCCACAACTGTCAGACTTCCGGGCACTCCAAGGTCAACTGCAACCGCCCTCGCGTTTACCGTGCAGCAGACCCACAAGTCGCTTCCACTCAAGCAAGTCCTCCAAGGCGCTCTTCAACATCTGCACAACAAACACCCAACATCATCAACTGCATGGTACACATCGACAACTGCGCACCCGCTTCACCACCCACTTACGCACCAGACGAAGAGGAATTCCCGCCGCCGCGCTCGCAAGGACTTCAGGTCAACCCGACATACGCTGCAGTCGCTAACGCCGAACCCACCGGGCGGAACACCTGGTTCTTGGACAGTTGCTGCGGTCAGCACATGTGCTCCTCCGGACGCTTCGTACAACACGAGCGACGCCTCAACCGTGACGTCGTCATCACCGTCGCCAACAACGAAAACCTGAAAACAAATAGACAAGGCGTGGTTCAGTTACAATCAATGGAGACAAACGTTATTCTTCAGCTCAACAAGGTCCTCATCGTCGACAATCTGGGATACAACCTATTAAGCGTAAGCCAACTAATGGCTAAGGGGATTCACCTGGAGTGCGACTCCTTCTCCAACGAGTTCCGACTTTACCACGGGAAGGGCGGTCTCTTCATCGGTCGTGCCCTCCTGAAGTCCGGTGTCTTCGTGTTGGACTTCGTCCCCGACCGCGGAACTGCCGACAGCGATGGCATCGTATCGTTCGCCGCCTGGACTCACCCACCAGATCTTGATCCCGACTTCGACAGTGACGGCTTCTGGCACTCCAACACCATACCTGCAGCAGAGAGAACACGGGCATTAGCAGTTATCAGACAAGAAAGACAAGTACCAGCAAGCGTCCCAACAAAACCATCACCTGCAGTATCGGCAGCAGGACCCAGCCGAGTACCACCACCAGCGACACGAGGACAGCCAACCGAAGCAGACCAACTTATGCCCGCCACACGAGAAGCTTGTCGAAGTCCCGCCTCGGTCGTCGCGTTCTTCTCCAACGCCGACATCTACCACCGCTCGCCCGGTCACCGCGCTCCCGACGACATCTGGCACCAACGTCTCGGACATCCTGCAAACAGCACGATACTTCAAACAATCCAAGCAGAAGTGTTAGAACGCAACGCCCTTCTGACGACGAGCGGCCAGGAACTCCGACGACCACGCGCACGATGCTTCACGTGCCCCGAAGCAGATCTTCCTCATCAACCTTTCCCAGCCCATCACAATCCAAGCGCACCCACTTACGCTCCGATGGAAAAGGTCTACAGCGATATTCTAAACATGCCTCGAGACGACACCGAAGCCGACTTCAACTACGTCATCACGTTCATCGACGCCGCAACCAGATACGTCTGGCACTTCAATCTCAAAACGCGCGATCAAGCCTTCGAGGCCTTCACCACATGGCTTCCAATCGCCGAACGAGAGTCAGGAACCAAACTCAAGAGTTTCCAGTCAGACGGTGCACTGGAATACCAGTCACAACGCTTCAGGACCTATCTCGCGGAAAGGGGAATCCGACGCCTGGTGTCTCTGCCCTATGCTCACCAGCAGCAGGGGGTAGCAGAACGCATGAACCGGACCTTGCAGACGACGATGCGAAAACTGCTTCTGGGGATGAGGCTGCCCAACGCACTGTGGCCAGACGCGATGACACATGCAGTCCACCTGCACAACCTGTTGTCCTCTTCATCGCTCCCCAACAACGCATCACCACACCTGCTGTGGACGGGAAAAAGGGGCAGCACAAAATTACTTCGAGTTTTCGGCTGCATGGTACAATACAGACCCCACACAGCTCGAGCAGGACGCTTCACTCAACGAGCTCGGTGGGGACTACACCTCGGCATCGCCAAACATTTTCACGCGTGGAAGATTCTCGACATACACGACAAAAATACGGTGGCATCACGTGATGTTATCTTCTACGAGCGACTGACGCTGCAGCATTACCTGGACAACATTGCCAACTCAGACGACCCCACCGACGGCTTCGCGGGCCTTCGCTCCTTCGCTGACCATGCTGCCGAGGCTGACGCAGCAGAAGAAGACGTCCCTGGAGCCTCGGAGGCTGCCGGACCACTCCCCTACTGCTCCGTACCTGTTCCACTCGATGAAGATAATCCCCTCGATAGCAACAACCTCGACACCTTTTACCACTTCGCTGACCAAGGCTACGCTACACCACACCCCGTCGACTCGAATATTTCCGAACGCATCGGGCCAAACTTCTTACCCGATCCTGAAGACGGTGATGAAGCAGCTTATCCCGAGAATGAAAACTCCCCTCGACACACAGCCACGGGACTGCAGATCCTAGGACTATGGGTCTCCGTCCAGCACCCGCCGCCGCCTTCTCCGCGCGAGCCGTCGACCCTGTCGCAGGCTCTGGGGGGGGAACATAAGGCACAATGGAAGGAAGCGATGGAAAAAGAGTTAAAAGCTCTGCAAGACCGAGAAACATGGAAACTGGTACCTGCAACGAGCATCAACGGGAAGAACATTCTCTCGGGGAAATGGGTGTACCGCATCAAGACCAACTCAGACGGCTCCATCGAACGATTCAAAGCTCGATGGGTCGTACGAGGCTTCGATCAACGATACGGAACCGACTACACAGAAACCTTCGCTCCAGTCTCCCGTCACACCTCTCTGCGCATCCTACTCGCCATCGCGGCCACGAAGAAACTACCACTACGGCAAATCGACGTTGCAAACGCCTTCTTGTACGCACCTGTGGACGCCGAAATCTTCGTCGAACAACCCCACGGATTCATCGACGACCCTTCAAAAGTATGCCAGCTGGAAAAATCCCTTTACGGGATCAAGCAAGCCCCACGGCTCTGGCAGCAGCACCTTCACGGCCGGCTCGTAAAAATCGGATTCCTACAGCTACCACATGACCAAGGCATGTACCGACTACAGAAGGGAAGAGATTACATTCTGCTCATCGTCTACGTCGACGACCTGCTCTACATCGGTTCTACCACCGACATCGTCACCTGGTTCGAAGGGGAGCTGAAAAGGGACCTGACGCTCACGGTGTCCGACGAAGTTACCCAGTACCTAGGACTGAACATCGTCGAAGACGACACGGCGTTCTACCTACACGCTGGAAAGTACTCAAGCACCGTCGCGAAGAAATTCGGTCTAGCACCGACTGCGGTCCCAACTCCCTACCGCTATGGGAACAACAGTAGCGCCTCCACAAAACTCCCCGCGAAACAAATCCAGGAGTATCAACAGAAGCTCGGCTGCCTACTATTCGCAGCAGTAACCTGCCGACCCGACCTATCCTATAGTGCGAGTCAGCTGGCGACACATCTGAAGCAGCCGCAACAGGAAGATCTCGAAGAACTCAATCGAGCGCTACTCTACTTCGTCTCCACGCCGACGATCGGGCTCACCTACAGCAAGGCAACAACACCGTCCGTACAACTACTCGGATACGTCGACGCCGACCACGCGGGAGACAGCGAAAATCGACGGTCTAGGACGGGCTACATCTACCGACTAGAACCTATCGGAACTATCTCCTGGCAGTCGAGCAAGCAGGAGTTAATCGCACTATCCTCGGCTGAAGCACAGTATATCGCCCTTTGTACTGCGACCAAGGAAGGACTCTACCTACGAGAGTTACTCGAAGAAGCGAAGATCGCGACCCTGCCCGCCTTCTCACTCCTCTGCGACAACCAATCTGCGATCAAAATCGCGAACAAGGACGGCTTCGCCAACCGAACCAAGCACATCGCCCTGCGGTACTTCTTCGTCAAGGATGAAATCGCGAAGGGGAGACTTCAACTCAGTTACTGCCCGACGACAGAAATGGCCTCAGATTATCTGACAAAGAAATTGGCGAAAGCAAAATTCGACTACTGCATGCTCCTAACCGGGCAAACAAACGTCACCGGATCTGAACACTCCAGCACTCCAGAAACGAAGGGGAGTGTTGGAAATATCTCAAGGACTTAAGCGTTTCTGAAGTGTAACACTGTACTCGAGGAAGATTACAGGGGAGCACGCGAGTCAACGGAGGTTACACGAGGGGGCGGACAAAGAATGCGAAAGGACTCGAAAGGTCGCAACTGGAGGTTGCGACTGACCGTTACAACATCACGGATGGTAACCGAAGCGGCAATCGAGTCGCTGTGCGACTCGATAAACCGTTCCTGTAACTGTATTCTACAACTGCTTTCTTATCTTCTATATATTGCTGTATGCTTGTTTCTTTAATCAATCACTTGTTCTCACATACTAGTACAAGGGTTCAACTGCCTCAACTTCCGCTGCACTACTCCAAGTCTCAAGTCTCTACAGCTGGGACTTAGTCTCTGCAAAAGATCCTAAGGGCTTTTTTCAGCCCAACAGTGTTATATACAGGGGATTACGGTATATGCAAGCTCGATAACCTGGGAGCAGCAGCAAGCAGTGTCCCAATGGTATCAGCTAACAGCCTCATGACCTCCCCTATCTTGGGCTCTGGGTTGACTTCCACCAGGTCTTCCCCTTCCTGCTCCAGCTCTGGCTGAATGTATGTGTTTATAGCGTTCACTAGCTGTGGTATGCCCTCCGCTGACACTTTGTTAAGATCTCCCAAGCAGTCACGCATCACCTGAGGGGCACAGAAATGGGCGGTGAAAGCAGTCAGTGCCTTGACTTAGCGTTCCTGCAAAGAGAAGTTGCAAAATGTGAAATTGCCAATGGTGGAGGTGGAAATGCAAGCAAGAAAATTCACATCTGGAAAAAATGGGGGAGGGAGAGGAGAGGGAGGGGGGGGGGGGGGGGGGGGGGGGGGGGTCAAGAGAGCGAAAGGCCTGAGCCACTTGCCGTGAAGGACATGTCCCGAGCTTCCATCAGTTGTTGCCGCAACCTCCCCCTGTGCTCTAGGGTGTTCCTCAGCTGCTGGCGCAACCCGTTCCGCTGCTGCGTCATCTGCCAGTTTAAAAAACGCCTCAAGTGTTATCCGCTCCTCTTACAAGGTTGCTTACTCCAGGACAAGAAATGACGTCACGAGTTGACTGGAACCTAGAGAGCCAGCTACCTCCAGATCAACACCATGAAGACCCACACATGCCCATCCGCACATATGTCAACGCACTTGCCCACATCTACACACACACACAGATGGCACATCATCCCATGCTCCCCTCCCCCTTTCTCCTCCCTTACCTCGTCCAAATCTTTCCTCATTTCCTTCACCCTCCTCTCCATCCTCTCCACCATCTCCCTTTGCTCAGGCTCGTGCACCTTCCACTCCAAATGCCTTATCTCCCGTGTGAGCCGCTTCACCACATCCCGTGCCCCTCGTGCTTCCTCCTCATACCCCTCAAGCTGTCTAACCCGTGCGTCCAGGTACTCCGCCTCTCTTGCCCTCGTGACCAGGCCCTCGATTTCCTCCTCCAGAGCTCTCACCTTCGCTCTCAAGCTATCTGAATCCTTTGCCCTTGCCTCCATTGTCTCATACTCTCTTACCCTTGCCTCCATTTTCTCAATCTCTCCAACCCTAATCTCAAGCTCCTTCCCTCCAGCCTCCACGTGCTCGAGCACCTTGACCCGCGCCATCAGCTCTGCATTCGCTGCGCGCAAGGAATCCAGCGTCTCATACTGGCTCGCCCGCACAACCACCTGCTCCAACTCCTTCAGTCGAGCTTCTTCCGCCCGCTCGAGCACCTTCACCCGTGCCATCAGCTCTGCATTCACGGCGCGCAGCGCGTCCAGCGTCTCATACTCCCTCGCACTCACGACCACCTGCTCTAACTCCTTCAGTCGAGCTTCCGCCCTCTCAAGCGCTTTCACCTGGGTCAGCAGCTCTGCATTCACTGCGCGCAAGGAGTCCATTGTTTCATGCTCCCTCGCCCTCACTGCCAGCAGCTTCTCTACCTCCTGCACTCTAGCTTCTGCCCACTCGAGCTCCTTCACTCTAGCTTCCGCCTTCTCAGATCCCTTAATCCGTGCTGCCAGCTTGGCATTCACGACTCGCATCACATCCAGCGTCCCCCGCAGTGATGCTGCTTCGGCTGACTGGCTGCGCAGCTGCTGCAGCGCTTGTGCGAGCAGCTGAGCCAACTCTGAGAGGGAGAGAGGGCGCGGAAGAATAGAGGCAACAAGAAGGAGGGATCAGGCGTTCCATGCAGCAATGTGACCTCGGCTGACTGGCTGCGCAGCTGCCGTAAAGCTTGCGCAAGCAGCTGAGCCAGCTCAGAGAACAGCACAGATGAAGATGGCATGTCTGCGAGCGAGCGCAAGAAACAGCACGAGAATACGAGGACTAGGTGAGTAGGGTCTTCTACAAAAAAATGGGCTACTCCTTGTTTTTGCTTCATCCATCCATCCACGTAACCTTCACTCCGTCTGTCGGAAACAAAAGGTAAGCCCCTTCTCATTCCACTTATCCTCACATCTTACCCCTCGTCCGACCACCTACCATCATCGGCCTGTTTTTTGCTCTGCTGACACTCGATCAATTTCCCCCTGAAAGCATCCAACTCGTTGCTGCTTGTTGCCATGGCTGCTTCAAGCTGCAGTTACAGAAGGAAAGGGTGCGTGTGAGTGTTGGTGTGTGAATATTTGGGTGTGCCTGTGTGTGTATGAGATGGCTAGGGCAAGGGAGAAAAGGGATTGAATGTGCATGAAAAAAAATCATCCTTCAGAACGTTTCAGAGGACGAATTCTTTTTGACATTAACAAAAGCATTGCTTGTGAAGTTTGTGTACGTGTACTAGGAAGGCGCGAAGCCTGCACTAGAGGTAACTACGTTAGTACCCATGAAGCTTGAGATCAAGGTTCTATAGTTTTCCAGCCATTTGCAGAGAGAACAACAGTAATTCGCAACGCATCCTTCCATACATGTTGCTATCATTTATCTCCTAACGGCGATGTACCGAGGGAGAAATTAACTGGTCAACGCCTGTTGTGGAGGAGAAGGTAAGAGCCGTAGAATTGGTTTTGAGAATTCTAAAACACCAACTCAACTTCTAAGCGTGACAGTACTAAATCAGGCTCGCGCGAAAGTGGCTCAATTGGGAGAGTTAAGAATTGTAAAGCGAGGGAAAGCCACGAGAATCTAAGAGGCTCCCAGGGAAGGCGCGCGACAGAAGAAGTAGATTGCGTGGGTAACGAAACCAGCGAGCTGTGACGCGGTGGTACAAGACACACGAAAAGCTCTCAAGTTCGCCATGCCGACTGAACGAGGAGGGAAGCGGAACAATCGAGGAGCGACGCGGAGGAAAAAAAGGCGTGGGAAGCGGGACCGCGGGGAATAACAGTAATTCCGTGCTCCGTGATACAAACGAGGGAAACTTGGCTCTCGCTGCGATGCTCATCGCCTGGAGAAAAGATCAGAAGGAATTCGTCAACCGCGTGGATTCGGTTTCGCCCAGAATCTAGGAGCCGGAAGCCGGGCCAAGGCGCGAAAGCTGTGAGGGGTCTGGCCCCAAGGCGGAACGGCCATCTAAGCACTAGCGCGTATTACGACGAGGGCGAGAGTACTCTTTAGGCGACTACTCGTGTTCGTCAAGCTGCTTCGGCAATTCAGGCTACTGTACTACACTCGGTGAAGCTTTGCCTCGCGTGATGGATGGGCCTGTGGGTGCAAGGGCAAGGCTGAAGAAGCACCTGATGTTCCCGAGGCGGAGCAGCTACAAAAGGTGTAGTGCGGTTGGAGCACACTTGAGATTGAGTGATATGTTATCTGACCATGAGATAATTTGTAAACAGCAATACCAAGCGTGAATATAAACTATAAAATGAAGCCTCTTGAGTAACATTATACTACATGAAAAATTTAGTACGATAATGTATACTATTGAATTTCTGTTGACTTTTTAGCTTTCAACCATGCTTTGTAACCTGATGGCCACATACTAAAATAGCCAACCCCATTTCAAGTTGGTACGGCACTGCTGCAAGGAGGTTTTCGTTGGTACCGTGCCCCTCACTTCCTGCGAGCTGCAGCGAGCAGCGTGTTGATTGTGTCACCCAGCAGCCTCATGACCTCCCCTAGCTTGGGCTCTGGATTGACTTCCACCAAATCCTCCTCTTCTTCCTCCAGCTCAGGCTGAACGTGAGTCCCTATGGCGCTCACTAGCTGCGGTATTCCCTCTGCTGGCACTCTGCTGAGATCTCCCAAGCAGTCACGCAGCACCTGAGGGGCACAGGAAAGAATGGAAGGGTTACGACAGGCACTTGACTTCTCTCAGGCAGCCCCGCAGCACCTGAGAGGGTTATGGCAACAAACAGAGGAGTGGTAACGATGGGCTTCGCATTGCTGTAAGGAGAAGCGGCAAGCACAGAGAGCTAAGCGCAGAGAGGTAAGCACGGCAATACAAGTGAAACGAAAATATGTGGGGAGAAGGAAACGGAAGACAGAACAAGCAAGGGACGCGAGGTAAGGGGAAGGAGAGCGGGGGTCCTGGATTTCGGTGCGGTCACAAGTCGCAGTTGCGGGGCGTGGAATGTGGGAGGGAGGGAGGATCTTTAGCAGCTTGCCTTGAGGGACTTATCCCGAGCTTCCATGAGCTCCTGCTGGACCCTCCCCCTGTGCTCTTGGGTGTTCCTCAGCTGCTGGCGCAGATTGTTGCGCTGCTCCTTCACCTGCCAAGAACGACCAGGCACCCAAGGAAGCAGACCAGGAATTGGCTTTGAGAAAACGGAGAGGGGGGGTAAGGGAGTGGGGGGGGGGGGGGGGGGGGGTGGGAGGGAGGGAGGGGAAGGGTTTGTGAGCGCCTGGGTGTGTATGTGTGCGAACACGCAGCAAATGCAGTATCCAGAAGATGCGTGCACATGCTCACACATGCGCGCCCATGCACGCACGCACACACGTATCTTCCCCCCCCTCTCCCCCCCCACACAGACTCCCACGCATACCACACATGTCAACATGCCGTTTCCCCCTTCCTCTGATACCTCATCCAAATCTCTGGTCAGGTCCTCCACAATCCCATCCACGTTCCTATCCTCCTCCCACTCCCGCCCCCACTCCCCCTCCCCTTCCGCCTCCCCCTCCCCTTCCACCTCCCCCTCCCACCCCCTCTCCCGCTCGCCCTCCCACTCCCCCTCCCCTCCCCCTTCCACTTCCACTTCCCCCTCCCCCTCCACCTCCCCCTCCCCTCCCCCCTCCACTTCCCCGTCTCCCTCCACATTCTGGGCCTGGTTAACCTCCAACTCCAACTCCAACTCCTCTATCCTTTTCCAAAGTCCTTGGATCTCTTCCTCAGCCTCCTTAAGCTTCGCCTCTGAGCTCTTGGCCTCTCTTGCTCTCACTCGCAGCCTCTCAACCTCCCTCTCAAAAGACGCCACTCCAGAGTCTTTCATATCATTTATTGCCTGCAGCGCCTTAAGCATCATCTTGTACTGCTGCACTTCGTCTTCCAGCTTCGTTGTTTCCTTCGCCCTGTCCAGCAAACCTTCACACTCTTTAACCGTTTCATTTGAGTTCCCATCCTCTCTTGCTCTCGCTTGCAGCCTCGCAACGTCCTCCTCACACAGCCTAACCCTCTCGTCCTTGGCATCTATTGACGCCTCTAGCAACCGAACGATCTCCTCATGCTCCTCCACTCCGGCTTTCAATATCTCTATCTCCTTCGCCCTTTCCTCCAGCAAACCCTCACACTCTCTAACTCTCTTCTTTAAGTCCTTCTCCGCCTCCTCACTTCCTCTCGCTTTCAGCCTCTCAACCTCCTTCTCATACCAGCTCACTTTCGCATCCTTGGCATCAATTGATGCTTCTAGCTGCTTAACAATCTCCTCATGATCCTCCACTTTGGCTTGCAGAATCTTGATCTCCTTCGCCCTCTCCTCCAGCATATTCTCGCACTCCCTAACCCTCTCCTTTAATGTCTCGGCATCCCTTGCACTCGCTCGCAGCAATTCAATCTCCGCCTCATGCTCCTTCACTCGAGCTTCCACCATCTCAAACTCCTTCACTCTAGCTTCCAGCTTCTCACACTCCTTCAACCTGGCTCGCAGCGTCTCAATCTCACTCTCATGCTCCTTCACTCTAGCTTCCATCCTCTCAAATTCCTTCACTCTGGCTTCCAGGCTTTCAAACTCCTTCAACCTGGCTCGCAGTGTCTCAATCTCCACCTCTTGCTCCTTCACTCTAGCTTCCAGTTTCTCAAACTCCTTCACTCTTTCCTTCTTCTTCAGTTTCTTAACCTCCTTCTCGAGCTCCAGATTTGCTCTCAGCAGGTCTTCCAGGTCTGCTTCCAGCCGGTCGATCTCTGCAGACTGCTCCTGCAGCTGTTGCCATACGTCAGTGGTTACCTGCGCTAATGCTGGGCAGAATAGGATGGGAAGGATGGCAGCAAGGAGAGGGGTGGCAATTAGGTGAGCTGGAGGTCCCAATTTCCTCTTAGCAGGACTTCAAGCTCTGAGTCTAGCCGGTCAGCCTCGGAAGACTGTTGCTGCAGCTGCTGCCAGATGTCTGTGTTTACCTGCGATAATGCTGGCCAGTAAAGGGTGGACGGATGGAAGCAAAGGGAGGGGAGGCCATTAGGAAAAGTAGGACAAACATTGTCTTAAAGAAAGGAAACAACACAAATTGCATCCATCCATCCATCCACGTCAAATGTGTTTCCAGCTCTCCTGCAGATACATTCATTTCTTTTCAAAACAAATCAATCAGAATTCTCATTCACTTCCATCCCTCCGTCCCACGGCCCCGTCTCTGGCACCCACCATCATCTGCTACCCTCTTCACGCCCTGAATCGCTTCCTTTGAATCCTCACTCACTTCATTTCCTTCCTGCCTGTCTGCCCCCTCTCTCACACTCACCATCGTCGGCCGCCCTCTTCACGTCCTGGCAACTTATCAATCTCCTCTTCAAATCCGCGTGATTGCCATTGCTTGTAGCCATAACCTCTTCAAGCTGCAGCTCGGGTGTCCACAAAAGGAGACAAGGTGAGCTGCGGATGCTGAAGAGACAAGGTAAGCACAATGAAGGGTGGTTGTGAATCTCGTTACGCGAACGGATTAAAGTTATCCTGACGGATTGACATTACGGAAGAGAGAGAGAGAGAGATCGGAAAAGGTCGAGGGAGAAAGCGAGAGTTGGAGGGATCGAGCCCACTACTGTACTCAATGACAAGGGCTGTTCAAGATAAGATTGAGCCCTAACGACTAGGAAACAGACGTAACATCGAGACAGGGAACGATTGAGACGAACGACATGCGAAAGTCAGGAATCTGGATAGACGCGTACCGAGGGCGAAACGGGCTGCTTGCTTGAGAGTGGAGCCCAGACTCGAGAGTAAGAGCTTGGAGTATGAAGGCAGAAGAATCACTCAGGCAAACTCGCAAGAGGAGCGGATCGTGACGAGAGGGGAAGCTACTAAAATCTGTAACCGGCAGCTCTCAAGGCATCTCTCGACGGATCTACAGTTCTGGTTACAATCTTAGACGGCTGGTGATGGATTTCACACTTGCAGCTCGGCTGTCTTCAAGTCACAAGGACTGGTGACGTTCCCTAGGTCGGCTGGAAGTGAATACGAACAAGGAAATAAATTCTTGAGGAGCGTCGCAGAGGGAAAAGACGCGGGAAGCGAGACCGCTGGCCCGAGGAACAGTGATTCAGTACCCCCGTGCATTAGCGAAACGAGCGAAATGAGAGGCACGCGGCGTTTCGCGACGGAATTCTCGCACGGGATTTCGCACCCAACAAGCTCAACGCCAGGTCCGCTGCACGGAATTTCAGCAACTGCACGGGGACGCGCGGTCTCATCCGGAATCTAGGAACCAAAAGCCAGCCCAAGGGACCATGGAATCGCGCAAGGCTGCGGGGGAACGGCGGAAGGCGCGCCGAGAAGGGGACTGGCCCCAAGACCCAACCCCCGCAACACCCGCAATGCCCATGGTAGCTCCTGCGCGAAACGAGGTAATCTCTAGGCCCTCACGACACGACCATCTTGTTCCCTAGGCGATTGCTTGCCCATTGTCAAGCTGAGCTCGTGATGGATCGAGCTGTGCAAATCTAGATGACCGTTGGATTCGCCTCATGGGTGGGAAAATCAAGCAGACATGAGTGAAGATTTCAAGGGGGGCGGAAGGGAATATATTAGCAGCATATTAGCGGCCGCGCTAACACGAACTGTCACTTTAAACAAACGAACGATCATATTTAACGAAATTTTAACACGTTTTATCATTTGGGCTCCTTCCAAGATTATGGAGTAGCTCGTGGTGTTCTCAAGGTGGATTAGCTAGCATATGTGGTTTCTCCATATGCAGTGCAGCTGAATGCCTGAGACTTGTTCATGTTCAATAGGCCGCAAAACTCGGTTCACAACAACACTCACCAAAGACGATTGGGGTTCATTATTTGTGCTAAACATTTTTCAACATAGTGCAATATCTCATGCAATATTGCAGAAGGTTTCGCCATCAGTTTGTAGAACGAAATTGATATTATCTCATGCAAGGACGTTCCTCCTGTACCTCACTTTTTGGGAGCTGCAGCGATCAGCGTGTTGATTGTTTTGTTGAGTGACCCGCTGGGGTTACCCTTGAGAAGATCCTCGGGGAAGGGCCATAGGTGCAAAGCCTGGGGGGCTATGGGCGCACTGACCCGCTATTAAAAAGCCCTTTTAACTCAGTGGTTAGTGGCTGAGTTTCTGACATGGTATCAGAGCGTTGGTAACTCGGGTTCAATTCCCAGTGCTTGTGCTGGAGAGGCGCTCGTGTCTTCCACCTATCTCTGCAAGGGGGGGGGTGTCGAGTGACCCGCTGGGGTTACCCTTGAGAAGATCCTCGGGGAAGGGCCACAGGTGCAGAGCCTGAGGGGCTATGGGTGCACTGACCCACTATTAAAATGTCCTTTTAACTCAGTGGTTAGTGGCTGAGTTTTTGACATGTTTCACCCAGTAGCCTCATGACCTCCCCTAGCTTGGGCTCTGGATTGACTTCCACGAAATCATCGTTCTCCTGTTTCAGCCCCGGCTGAATGTAGCTGCTGATGGCGCTCAATAGGTGTGGTACCCCTGCTTCTGGCACTTTGCTGAGATCTCTAAAGCAGTCACGCAACACCTGAGGGATACAGATAATAAAGAAGCGCAACACATTGTTGGAATAGCGCGAGAAAATGTGACTAGGAAGAGGGGAGGGGAGATACAAGTACAAATAGTTATCCCCTCTAAGAGCTGACCTAGGTAGGATATACTAACAAATATATTCTAGCTAGGACATACATATATTGTTAGTTGATACAAATCTTATGGAAGAGAAGAATGTGGTGCAATAAACATCAGAAGGGGGTCCTATCAGCCTTAGGTTACGTAAATGAAATGGGAGGTAGATGGTGTCGAAGTCAAAGAACGGTTCAGAGAGTAAATCCAGGGTAGTCTAGAACCTCTTTCAACGCATTTTGATAAGGGTTCCAAGCAGACGCTACTGGTGCCAATTCAAGAACACCATGAAACGGGGGGGGTGAGTGGGGAGGGTGGAGGGGGGGATGGGAGGGAAGGAAATTAGGTTCCAGCAGGAGAAAGAGGAAATGGCAAGAGGGGGGGAAAGTGAGGAGGGAGAGTTTCGTTTACTTGCCTTTAGGGACTTGTCTCGAGCATCCATCAATTCTTGTTGCAACCTGCCCCGGTGCTCTTGGGTGTTTCTTAGTTGTTGGCGTAAGCCGTTCCGCTGCTGCGTCACCTGCCAAGATTGCAAAAAGGAACAGCTTTTGACATATCTCTTACTTCAAATGGCACGAAGTGAACAGGGCCTTGCTGCTAAACAATACAAACGGAGAATGTGCATCCACTAGTCCACACATAAACCCACACGTGGGATAACACCCAGCTCCTCCCCTCTTTCTCCTGCCTTACCTCTTCCATGTCTTAAGTCAAATCCTTCAACTTCTCATCCACCTTCCCAGGTGCCCTGGCGTTCAATTTCAACAACTCAATTTCTCCCATGAGTCTCCCTTCTAGCGCCTTGAAATGTGCTTGCTGCTCATTAATGGAATAATTCAGCCTCAGCACTTCGGCTTTCAATTGCCTCGACTTCTGCACTTTCCTCTCCAACATTTTCTCTACCAGATGCCTCCATCCTCTCAAATTCCTTGACTCTTGCTTCCATTCTCTCGAATTCCTTTATTCTAGCTTCAATCTTCTCAAATTCCTTTACTCTTGCTTCCATTTTCTAAAAACCCTTGACTCTAGCTTCCATCCTCTCCAAATCCTTGACTCTAGCTTCCATCCTCTAAAAATCCTTGACTCTAGCTTTCATCCTCTCAAAACCCTTCACTCTAACTTCCATCCTCTCGAAGTCCTTCACTCTAGCCTCCATCCTCTCAAAGTCCTTCACTCTAGCTTCCATCCTCTCGAAATCTTTGACTCTAGCTTCCATCCTCTCACACTCCATGACTTTAACTTTACGCTTCTCACGTCCCTTAGTCTGCTCCTTAAGTGCCACATTCTCTGCACGCAACTCCCTAATCTTGGAACACTGGTACTGTAGTTGGTGCCACATGTGCTTGCGTAGCCACGCCATACCTAGGACACACAGGAAAGTAGACGGATGAAAACAAGGAGCCCGGTGAGATCTAGGCGACCTGACGTTAGAAGGAAGTGTAGATAAATAAGTTGTTAGTTCAGAAAAAGGAATCAGAAGAACCAGTTCAATTGACCAGAGGTGTATGCATGAATTGAATCGCCACCTGCAAATCCAACACTCCTGCAACTTGATTGCTTTCTTTATAAACGAACTAGACAAGATTCCCGTTCATTTCCTTCATTCCGTCCACATGCTCCCTCTCTGCCGCTCACCATCGTCTGCTACCTTTTTCGTCTTCTCTGCTGCCTTTCTCGTCTCCTCGCACTTGATCATTGTCCTCTCAAGGTCATCCAGATCGCATCAGCTTGTTGCCATGGCTGTTTCAAGCTGCAGGTGGGGAAGGGGACAAGGTGAGCCGCGGGTGCTGAAGCCATTTATAAGCACAATGGCGATTGGTAGTGAATACGAATGGGGCAAAGCGACCTTGCGGACTGAGAGAGGAAATGGGGAGGATGGGAAGAGAGGGGGGTTGGGGAGGGGGGAGAGGAGACGAGGAGGGGAAGATTAAGCCCACCAGTGTAATCATTGAACAGGACTGTTCGGGAAAGATTGAGCCGTAACGACTTGCAAAAGCAAAAAAAATGGATAGACGCATACCTAGAGCGAACGAGATAGAACTTTGCATGGTGAAGAAGATAATGGCGTAGAGTGCAGAGGCAGTAGAGGCACTAACAAACTCGCAGTGAGGCTGGGTGAAGAGTAGCGGATCGTGACAAGAGGGGAGCCATTGAATCTGATTCCCGCGGCTCTCAAGGCATCTCGCCACAGATCTTCAAATCTGGTTACAAGATCTGAAGACAGCTGGTGGAGGAGATTGGTGGCTCGGTTGACGAAACACTCGAAAATCGGCTAACAAGTCACAAGGACGGGTCACGTTCTCTAGGTCGGCTGGAAACGAACAGTAAAGAAAACGGATTCCAAAACTTGCGACGCATCTAGTTACTATCATGGACGATTTCAAGGAGCTGCAAATAGGTGGATTGCATGGTTAACGAAACCACTGATTGCTACACGGCTGTTACAAGTTACACGAAGAATTGGCGATGTTCTCTTGGTCAAATGTAAGCCGAAGGAAGAGGAGCAATCGAGGAGCGTGACGGAACGAAAAATCGCGGGAGGCGGAATCACTGGGAGGAAGAGCGATTTCATGCACTGGCTGAGGGACACGTGGCTACAGTCCCCAGCAGGAATCCGTCAACGGCTTGGATGGCGCAAGGCACGCCCATGAGGGGACGGCCCAAGCAGGAGTTGGCGCAAACACCCGCAACACCCATGGTAGATGACGCGTACGACGAGGAATCCTCTAGGCATTTGCGACATGGCGAATCCTTCCCCTAGGCAATTTTCCTTGCCCATGGACTACCAGCTGTGTCTAGGGATCAAGCTGCGTTCTTCCTGGGGAATACATATGGGCCAGTTTCTAGCTGATGTGGTTTCTGTTGTGAGTGACACATGATGCGCAGGCCACATTTTTCTCGCCACTACAACCCCTTCCCCTCCAAAACCGCTCGTTACAATTCTTCACCTACCCCAACCCATTACCTCCCAACCAAACCTACTCTACCCACCAAATTTCCAACCCAAATTTTCCAGCTCATCCCCTCCAACCTAAGGCCTCCTAACTACTTCTTAATTTTCCCCAACTCTCATAATCATTCCTAGTCCACCTCAACCAAGCTTCCAACAAATCCTCCTATTCATCTCTAACTCCCACCTCAAGGCACATGACTCTTTCCATGTCCTCTTTCTTCCTACTCATCAAGTATTCTCCAACCAATAATCCTCCTCACATGTGCCTCAAGCACATTCCTCCCTTTCCTACTCATCAACCTCCACATGCCTTTTATTTATTCATTCCTTCCTTCCTATCCCAAGTCATCCAAGTTGCCACATCATCACACAATACTCTCATGATTTTTTTACATTCCCCACCTTCCAACTCAACAAAGCTTTCATTTCTCCTCCTTTCTTTCCTTTCCAACTCATCCAAGTTTTCTCCAACACCACATGGTCTACAAATCCAAGTCACCAAAGGCTCAACAACCATCACATGCTCCGTTGCTATTTATCTTCACCAAGAATCCTCTCCAACTTCTCAAGTAGTTTCTCAAAGTCCAACAAGGCATCTCCAAGCTCCTCTCCTTCAAGCTGCCCTTCAATTCTCCTTCAAGCTCCTCAAGTTCACACCACTACTAAGGCTCCTTGCTAGCATTCTTGTTCTATGTCTCTAGAGATGGTATTATCTTGCTACCTATCTTCCTAGACTACTATGAGTGGTCTCTCTCTCATGCATGTCCTTGTATTCACCATGGATTATAAGGCTTGTACTATACTCTCTTTCATATAAGTTTATGCTCTCAAAGTTCCTAGTGTAGCAAAGTAATCAAGCACTAATACGTCTTATACCCAACTTGAGTATAAGGTGCATTACCAAGTCACAAGCTT